AAATACTAGGGGTAGTTTTGTCATAGTAATCTGTGAAGGGTGCGGAACAAGCCGTAGCAATGCACTCGTCACTAAACCAGCCTGAGATTATTCGCCAGGTAGCTGCTGCGTTTCCCTACTTGCTGAATCATGTTTGCAACTTTCCATTTCCAGACACTTTTTACGGCAAATAAATTGTTGGGTTATTTGGAAGGTGAATGACAATTTTATTTCTATAAGTCAATACATTTGTGTTTCCGATTGCCCTAAAACTTTTTTTTTAATCGTTTGCGGTAGGTTTTTATTGTTCGCAATAAAGTTGCGCACCTGTGAATCCTTCACTTAATGCGTTCCCGGCTTACCCGGTGCCGGTTGCGCCGTGTGCCGTGCCGCGTCCGGTCGGGGGTGCGTGCGTGCGTCTGTGAAGTGCGAGTGTTTATCACTGGGCAAACCTGTATCGTTTCCATTTGTGCAGTGTCTAGTTATGAAGAATTGCTTTCCGATATATGACCTGCAGTGATCGACGTTCTGATTCAATAACTGGCCATAAGCCATTATTCTCAACTAAATCGCGCAGAGACGTTTGCAAAGTTGTCGTGGGGGGGGGGGGACAAGAGCGATTTTAAATGAATTGCTCTCCATGCAGTGCAATAGGACTTAGGTTTGATTTTTCAAAAGTTGTGGAGCCGCCCCCGGTGTCCGGCCTGGCCAACTCTCTCAAGAACGGACAGCTAACGGAACACTGAAGTTTCACTACGACGATTTCCGCCAAAGTTATGAAGAAAAGGCAAGTGCAAGAAGTACAAAACTTCTCTTGGTAATCAAAACTTAGGTTTGGCAAATTCCAAACCCTAAGTCACTACAACTGTGGATATAAATAAGCTGGTTATTGACGGCCAAGCTCTGGCCAATCTGAGGTTCAGACCTATCATCAAGTTCATGAGGCAGCTGCGGTTGGGCGGCTCACGGGCTCCACTGCATAGGCTCAGACAGGTACTCTACAAAATGTCTTCTGTGTTCTTAGGTTCAGATCTATCGATATGTGCATGCTTCTGATTCGATTGATAACTGTAAACGGGCGCTGGAAGTGAAATGTTCGCTTGATATACGAAAGGTGCATTGCAAGAAAGCACATTATTTCAAAAATACACTTTCATTTTATCTTGAGCGTTTTTGGAATGGGCCGGATGAATTCGTCATCAAACCGGTAAGGGATTTCGTTTGAAGACCACCGATATTTAAGAATATGATGGTCTTCAAACGAATTCGCAGGCAAATTCGATGGCTGGATTGGGCGGCGTAGGATCTGCTGGTCATCTGACTATGGGTTGATTAGGGCCTAGTTGGGGGGTTCGTCGTGGGGTTCAAATGTATAGCAATACGTTAGTTTTGACCTAGTTTCGGCTTCATTCGTTAAGTAGGAACAAGACGGTGCTTCTTTTGAACATCGTCACTAAACAAGCCGCCCTCGTTTTGACATTGTTTTTCGCTATTATTGTTACTAGGTACTTTGTTATCACACACAGCATTAACGAGGACCTGCTTCCAAAACAAGGCAGAAACGCTCCAGCTATTTTTGGGACGTGGTAAAAACTAACCGACACCTGGTAACTGTCATCTGACGAACACAAAACAAGCCAGGGGCTCGCAGCGTGTGTCAAAAGTAGGATGCAAAACTAGTCTGTACCCCCGACATTTAGCGTTGAGAATCATTTGACGAGGGGCTAGTCAATATTTTTTACAGTGTAGCATAAATGTTTCCATTTTTGTGTGGTAGTTGGTGACTTCCTCTTTTTCCCTCATTTGTCCTAGAGTTTTTACCATGTTGGCCCTTTTTTCAGTGAGGTTCTCATGTATGATCACCTTCTCTGACTCGTTGACCTGCTCGAATCTAGCCTGGTACACGGCCTCATGGTCATCCAGGTCCTGGAATTTGACCAGCATCCTTTTTTTTGTTCCTCAGACGGTGACATGCAACTATTGTGCCATTCATGTTGACATTGAGTTTCTTTTTGATAATTTCTGCAGCCAAAGCCCGAGTTTCTGTGCAGTGGTTTCTGGTCGATCAGTCTAAGGTAGTGGAACTCCTCCTCCCCCCAGGATCAAGGATGTTTTTCTGTTGTACCTATTGTTCGTTTTTGTCTAAGGTTCTTTCCATTTCTGGTCCTCCATTTCGCAGCTCGGCTGGTTACAGGTCTCCGCCGACACGACCATGTCGGCCCCGCCCTCGCCGCGCTCGGCTGGCCGGACATTCGGGAGATGATCGCGCGTCGTGACGCGCTGAACGTATATCGCGCTCTCCACGTTGTTTCCGCGCCCGGCCCCCTGCGTGCGATGTTTCGCACTCGTGCCGACGTATCGGAGCGCGTGACGCGCAGCGCTGCCGCGGGGGTGTCGGTGCTGGAGCTGCCCCACTATCGGCTCACCATAGCGAGGCGGCTCTTCCCATACAGGGCCGCGGTATCGTGGAATGAGCTTCCACGAGATGTAACCTCAGGTCCGACCAGGCGCTCCTTGTGTGATCATTTTAAAGCCTGATTTGATATTTATGACAGATGCATGTCTAAGTTTTTACCCTTTTTAATATGCTTTGTTTCATTGAGTTTGTATTGACTGGGCCCTAAGAGCCACTTTGTGGAACGGCCTTTGAATACACAATACACAATACACAATTCTGTGAGTTGACCTTTCAAATCAAGGTTCTCTTTTTTGAGTACCTCGAGCTCAGCTTTCAGATCATCCACATTTTTTTTAATTTTTCATTTAGTTCTTTTTTGGCTTTTTCTATTTTTTTCTGTAATGAGCGCAGTAACTTCATCCATTTTCCCCAGACCACTCATCCCAAACACAACTCGAGAATCAGATAAGCTAGGGTACAAAGAAAAAAGTAGCTCAAGGTTAATAAAGTTCAAAACAAAGAAAAGAAATAGTTTTTTAATCCTTTAAAGAAAGATGAATAAGAGGATGAGGCCCTCGACCCCTACCTCAGCCTAATCTTAAATAAACTGAAAAGACTGAAAAACAATCGTCCTCGTCCTCTGGTCTGATTAAATGTCTCCGCCGCGCCACTCTCGGACGTCCGTTCACGACGGCCACCAGGAGCGAACCGGTTATTTGCGTTATGCTATATGGTATGCTGATGAACACGCCGTAAATTTTGCTAATGGACACACTTAAAAAGTCGATGCACATAATCACTTTTTATTTCTGCACTGTGTGCTTCCATGACACTTAACATTATTTACACAGCTCCGATATCGTACAAGAACAATGCTTTGATATGCATCGTTTTTGACAAGAGCATCCGACGAATCCCTGCTTCTTGCCACCGGCCGCCGTCACTGCTCCCCTGATGGACAGCGTCGAGTCGCCAGACGATGTCTGTATCTGGTCCACCGACAGGAAGTTTGAGGAGGCCAACTCGATCTGGTTGTGAATGAACAAGGCATCCAGTGCGCCGTGTTCCGTCCCCACCTTGAACCTATCATAAACTTTTTAAGTAGGCTAGGCTTAGTTCTAGTTCTCTAAGTTCGTCTCATATTCATCTCAGCTGAAAAGTCACGATGCACGTGGATGTTGTATGTATAAAATAATAATAAAAATGGGTGAAAAGCTAGGGTTTAGGGTTTGCTAAGGTTTGCTAAGGTTTGCCTGCTACGCTTTCATCCAAAAGCCCTCCTTGACAAGGTCTGTGCTACATCACTCGAGCTGCTAAAGATTCTACGCACGGTAGAAAGTTCGCCGTGAAATTGAGTGCAGCATGGCCGAGGTCACCATCGAAACGTGTTGCAGACTCCCGGCTCTAAATCAAATCGCAACTTCAGTCTTATAGAAACTATCTGAATGCTTAGAAGATAAAACGAATGCAATCATTTTATATCTGATTTGGATTATGCTTGCTTCCCTAAAACAAATATAATTTTCTTCAAGTGTATCAACACTTCGCTGTTGCAATACTTCGTGTGATCCGTAGGGACGCCATGATCGCAGGCCATGAAAGCAAGCATACGGCACAAACATAACTGAACGAAACCCTGTTACATCAAACGTCGACAGTTTCCGTTTCCCAAGGCGAGGGGGCTGCGTCCCAAAATGGGACGCAGTAAGTGCCTTGAAATATGCCCTGGGGAGGTACCCCACAGATCTCCCCGGCTGGGGAGGCAACGTTGAGTTCCCCCCGGGGCCGGGGCGGACCATTCCTCACGCATTGGTGAATGATACCGCCCTGGCCTGGCCAGGCGGGCCGCAGGAGTGTGAGACTGGGAGAGTGTTGGCATGGAAATGTTTGCTCGCATATAATCACCATATCAGGCCCCATCTCTCCCGATGACTCTCTTGCAACAAGCTCGGCTTAGCTGGAGGGCATCGGGAGGGATGGCAAGACAACATGCATGAATTAGACCAGACCTGATTTACCCCACTAATGTCCCCTTCCAAGTGAGTGTGTGCGTGTTCCTCACTAACAATGTACGATTGAACCCTTAGCGGACAGTTGATGCTAGATTTGGCATTAACTACTATGGCTCTCTGTATCTACTAACCAAGTTAAATAATATCATACGTAGTCAATTCCGCTTCTTTTATGTTTTTTCCTCTTCTTAGCAGGGAGTGCCGCGACTTTTCAACTTTGATTTTTATTTTGGTGTTAACGTAAGGGTTCTTTGCGTCGCTGGGACTGAGGGTGGGGGCACTCCTGGTTGCCTGATCATGGGTAACGGACTATTAGTAGAAAAAAAAACCAGGCACCGCTCGATTCATCCCACCGAAAACCCTCATTCGTTACTGTCCTCCCCCACTAGTTCATCCTCAGCCCAACTTTCCCAAATCGGCGCCCTTGATGTCGCCGGCGGGTCGTTTGATCTCACCTCAGCCCGTGCCATGCCCCGTCCGCCCCACCCCCGCCCCGCCCTGGTCCCACCTCCCTACCGCACCTCACGCATGGGGGTGGGTTTTAAAAAGGCCGACAAAGCGCGCCGCTAGGCCCGATCGGGTTAGCTGGCTTGTGATTGGTCGGCGCACTCACGTGACGCGTTGCGTGCGCTCGGCGGCGGCGGCGGCGGCGGCGGCCGCTCGTCAGCTGAGTGGGCCGTCACATGGCTGGTGGGCCGCCGCGTGCGCCGCGCTGCAATATTCATACCGGCGTGGCCGCGGTGAGACGCGAGGCGGCGGCCGCGGGGGTGCGCTCCGGACGGCCGCGAAGAATCGTGATTCGGGAGAGACTTGAAGAACCGTGATTCCCTGTGGACTCGTGAACACTCGTCTGGGCTCGTGACCGTTCGTGAGGATTCGTGATTCTGTTTCGTGAATACCCGTGTGCCACTCTTTCATTTTGGTCCACAACCGATCCGGCCGTCTCAAGGACCACACCATTCCGACGTGAAGGACACCAGTGACAAAAACTCGTCTCAAACCCACGACCGTGACTAACCGTGATATCCAACCCCACCGTTCCGCCACCGCCCTTCCGCGCGGAATGTTCTGCGCCTACTCTCGCGCAACCCTACGGTAGCAGCGTCCGAGTGCTATGCGCGCCGGGCGGCATGGCGACTTCTGAGACGGGCTTCATCGGATCTCAGCCCTCGATGGCCGAGTACATGTGCTCCATCAACCCGCTGCTGCAGGAGACGCTGCCGGAGATGACGCCGCTGGGGGCGCCGGCCGGCTTCCTCGACGACATGGGCGCCGGCATGCAGGACGTCACCGAGTATCCCTGGATGAAGGAGAAGAAGCCGCAGAAGAAGGCGCAGCCAGGTAGGAGCGGGTGAGAGAGAGAGAGAGAGAGAGAGAGAGAGAGAGAGAGAGAGAGAGAGAGAGAGAGAGAGAGAGAGAGAGAGAGAGAGAGAGAGAGAGAGAGAGAGAGAGAGAGAGAGAGAGAGAGAGAGAGAGAGAGAGAGAGAGAGGGAGGTGGTCAGGTTTGAGATGCGGGAAGGGGACAGGGGCCTAATGATGTGCGGTGGACATTGGCGAAGGGCTGTTGCATGATCGTCCCTTTGCTCGTGATGTATGAGCAGATTCCTCGGCGCTGATCTAGAGGCACGCATGTCTTGCAAAGCCGTATGCATGCTCGTAATGATGAAAATGCGTTCACAGATACGGGTGTAGGGACACGCTGTATGTAACATAGCTGTTGCAAATTCGCAATATTGCTTGTGCATGGACTGATCAAATGTTTCACGTGGTGGATCATAAGCTGTTGGTTTTATGTCTGATGCATGGTGGACGAAGCAGTGCTTGATGCATTTTGGGTGCCGCGTGAAGTGAGTGATTGAATCAATAGATAAAATAGGGCACAAACAAATCGAGTTTGGGTGGGAAGATCGTCTCTAGTGTGAAACAAACGCATGACGCTGGTTAAACCCGACGTATTTTGCATCAAAATGAAAACTTTCAGAATGATTGGTAGGTAGTGCTAGAAAGGTAGTCCATGCAGTGGCTAAGGAACCTGGAGAAATCATATGAGAAATGTCAAAGTACTACTCGCAAAGTAAAAGACATTGCCATCACGCATTGGCAAGCATTACGTAAGTGAAATGTCCTTACATCCGTTTGCAAGTGAACAAACCACGGGATCGAATGTGTTGTGGAAAAGGTGTGTCCGTTATTTTAATTTCCGCATACATACAACGTTGGGCGTATGCTTCCCGTCGGCTTTTCATATCCCTGTTGTCGAAATGAGATGGATCGAGAGCTCAGTTCATAGATGTTCTGTTGTACAAACATGACTCGACATCCTCAGTCACGTCCAACGTCCCATGAACTGTTGCCGTCAATGCAGGGGTCAAAAACTGGCGGTCATGCAGCATTGTCCCCTGCGCATTGGTACATTTATGGTGGATTAAAATGTTGTCTATTCGTCCGCTCAAACATTCCGATTGTACTGAGTGCTCCATTGTTGCTGTCGACGGACTACTCCGGACGCAAGCCTATAGCTATAGTGACAAAATTCCACTGTCTGATGACTTGTTATAGAAGGTCCAATAGGGCAAGAACAATATACCTTGTGTCCGCTAATAAACATATTTTGAGCTACTTTTGGCATGTTTAGCTTAGGAGCTAATTGAAACATGCTGCTTTCATTTTATTGTTTTCTCAGACGTTAATTGTTCCACAGCCATGGCTGTTCGCTCTTAACCCGCGCCGTGCTGGTGGCCTGAACTTTCCGCCGAGTGCTGGGGGGGGGGGCGTTTTCACGCCCCCCCGTCTAACTCGGCTCCTGGGCCACGTAGCGACACGCGGTAAGCGGCAATCGAAAGAGCGTCAAAAATAAGGACGAAAACACTTCGGTCATTTTTTGGGTCAGGTCAAAGGTCAGGTCACCAGAGGTCACCAAAGGTAAAATGTTGACTATTTCAACATTTTGGAAACTGCCAACGGCTATCTCGGGAACCGATAGAGCTACAGCGCCGCGGAAAAGCGCATTCGATAGCCCTTTTACAGACCTTTCTGAGTAATGTTCTCAGATTTGACCTCAGGTCAACGGTTTAGCCTCCAGAGGGCAAAAACTCCAAAAATAGCCGTTTTTACGAAAAACGTTTTTTCGTCAATAACTTTTGACTCATAAGCGCCATGACATTACTTTTGCCAGCATCGTGTTCCTCTCGTCGAGACGCGTCGAATGAACTATTCGTTGACCTTGAAAGGTGATTTTGAAAATTTGACCTCAGGTCAAGGTCATGACCTGACCGAAAAGGGTCATGTTGCATATCAGTCGATCCGTATCGTCGAGCTGAACACATCTGACGTGTTTTCACCGCTCTAGCACGTCTCTATCAAAAGTTATAGCCAAAAAACTGCTGGCGACCAATCATGACCTGAGATGACCTCAGGGGCACACAGAGGGGTCACTGGTGCATTTTTCCTATTCAGTGTGTCATGTTTACCTATGAACCGATGTTTGAGAGCGTTTTGAACGATATTCGTCCAAAAGAGGCGCATTTCAATTTTCTCCCATTGACTTATAATGGAGAGGTCGCAAAATTGACCTGACCTTAGGTCACAGATATCAAAAATCCGAGATATACATTTTATACATACTGTTACTCATATCAATCGCTGAAAGTTTCAAAGTGATCGTTCAGTCGGTGTAGCTATAGCGAGCCTTTGAACTTTTTCTGAGGTAAGGTCACTTGACGTGACCTGGTGACCTGACCTTGAACGGCCTAGGTCTGAAATTTTCACAACATGTGCGGAAATGATGTAGGAACACGTGTACCAAAAACGGCGGCGCTGCGCGCCGCCGTTTTTGAGATATTCGCGAAAAACCTGAGGGGGGGGGCGTAAAAACGCCCCCCCCCCCAGCACGGCGCGGGTTAAATGTTAACGTTGTCAAAGTTACTTCATATGCCTAGCAACACGGCTAATTCAGTTGATGTGATATTCGAATCGCAGACGGACTCTCCGTTGATCTGCACAGCAAAGCATTCTTGAAATTAGATTATCTTGGCTTTGGTCACCATTGATGTCACCGGCATGTTGTTATCTATTCTTTTCTCAAAGCATTATTTTTGAAAATTGGATGTGCGTTTTGAAATTGAATGTGAAGTCATTGATTAGGAGAAGGAAATATGAAAATATAATTTGCAATCATTTGTATGTGCCAACTGACATGAAGACACAAATGGCTATATTTTGGGGAACCAAAAGATGTACAAACTGATATGTCATCGTTTTTATTCATTTTCCTTAGATATTTTACTCTACATGTCAGATGCGTGTACTTACACCATACACAATACGCATTGCATTTAAAAACCGTCGTGGAAAAACGGGCTGTCCTGGGCCTGGCCACCGTTTACATCCTTGAGGCCAGCCCACATGACCCTTCATCCTTTCATGCTCACATCTCATATGAGCCTGGAGGCGCATCCAGAAAGGTGATCTCGGACGTAGCGGGGAGGAGGGGACATGCCCCCACCCAAAAAAAAGTTTCTCCAAATTCCAGAAACTCATCGGCTTTCCATTCCTTATGCACTGTTGTGCAATTTAAAACAAACTTTCTTTATTAAAAGTTAATAAGCTTTTTCTTTTCTAGAAAAAAACGACAAATTTTCATCGATTTCAGGCACTGCGAGGGAGCATTTACCCCAAATGTCCCCCCTTCGCATCCGCTAGTGTCTGGAGACACTTATGCTAGGGATGCGTCATCACACCTTTCCGTGATGTCACACTTCCTTTATAGGGGGGCGTGTAGCGACGTGACGTGACGCGGGGACTGCGTGACACGGGAGCGTCACACTAGAGCACTTCATGGGCTGGATAAATCCGTTATCCACGGATAAATCCGCGGACCGGATAGGATTGGATTCTAAATTTGTTAAAAAAGAACGGATATGGGCGGGCCGGATTTGGGAATTGAAGGTTGAACCCGGATCAAAACGGATCAAAATTTTAACATTCAACATTGAAGTTAAAAATTAACCTAATGTGTTAAGCGGCAGCAGAGGTTTGATTAAAGTAATAGGCATCATTTTATGACACTCACTTGTCACAAGACTTGTATGGCTGTCTGGTCCCTTAGATTGAATTTGTTAGTCCAGTTTTGGGTGAAACCAGTTATTGGTGAAACGGATTATTACGGATATTTTTTGGAAGTTTGGCTGCAATACGGGCCATGGGTGGGCCGGATTCTGATATTCAAAGAAAGGCGGATAATGGGCGGATCTGGATATGACTTGCCGGATATGGGCCGGGCCGGATCCTAAAAAGCCTATCCGTGAAGTGCTCTACGTCACACCGCAGTCACGAGGGGCGCCGACGGTCTGTCCGGGCTGCTCGTGACGGGTCTGTATAGGAGAGGAGGGCGTGATGAGGAGGATCGTGACCGGATCCCGACCCACGCACTGTTCACACCTTCCTCTGCACTTGGCTCATTCAGTTCGATAAAGGGTTTCGTTATTGGCTGAATTTTCTTTTTATCCCTTCTGGTTTACATTGCAACTAATTCAATCGTTGACGCTAAGTAAACACCATACGAAATTTGACCATTGCAGATGGTTTTGCGAAAGTTGACCACTGCAGTTGGTTTCTGAAAAATGGCGTCAGGCGACAATTTAAACAATAAAAGAGGTTATTTTTAAGTCACAGATACTGTAGCTGTTTTTCGACTCACTACAACATAAATAGACCTATATGCATAACGGCTCTTCCACACACACCCTTGACATCCGTTTCCGTCTCATCTCACCTTTGCAACCGTGCACGATGCATCGTGATCGCTACATAAATGGGAGTGCCACTCGGTTCAACCGACAGTCACGTCTTCATGCACGAAAGTTAGACAGCAGAAAACGAATTGTGTCACTTCGAAATCAGAACGGGTGAGCTCATAAAAAGAAAATATGGTTACATGAAGCGCACATCAATCGCTATCGTTTGCAGCACTGATGTATGAATAGCATACATTATCATTCACGGCAGTAGAATAAGCGACAGGAATTTGCAATGGGACAGGCTGTGTCTGGTTTTGTTCATCCACTTATGATGGCTGTCAGCGAGAGCTTACTTTGGCCGAATGAATTATCGACGACAGAACCTTGTTTGACACTCTGCAAGAAGTTCCAGAAACGATCTGACAAATGAAGAGTAATTTGATTTGATCTGAAGTTGACACAAATGACGTTAGCGAATAAAAAAGCAAATACGCTGTTTGAGAGAGCTGTGAAATGCCACTAAGGTAGTATATCATTTAGTCGCTGAGCTGTATTTGAATGTCATGCTGACAGCCTTGACAGGGACACTGAGACTGTATAGTG